ACCAACACCCCCAGGAGAGCTTTTTAGCATGTAGCTGCTATCATCCTTATTTGTTTGATTTTTTTTTTTTTTTTCTCTAAGCCCCAAAAAGGGGGAAACTCTGCTGTTATAAATGATCGGAATTTCCTCAGCACGTTGTTCAAACGGCGACAGTTGCGCAGAGTTGTAATTTTCTATTTCTGTATGTCAGACAGCAATTGTGGCTTGTGCTAAGTTAGTATTATCATGCATATGGCTACTCCTTCCTTGGGCTCAAGGCGAGGGACGACGGGCTGCGGTGCCGGTGCCGGGGGGAGCGGGAGGGCAGCCGGGGCAGTTCAGGACCCCTCCCAAACTCCTGGCCGAGGGCTGTGTTTGGTGGCGAGGTTCCCCCTCCCCAGCGGTCCTGCCCACGCCCCTGCCTCTGTGGGGATGGGCAGTAACGCGGAAAGATGCAAACGCAATACTCAACTTCCTCCTAAGCTGGGGTTTTTATGCCTTCTTCATGTTGTCTTCACTCTAAGATCCTTTCTCCCTTATTCCCCCTTTCTTTAATTTATTTATTTTTTTTTTTTATTTTGAGAGGCTGGTGGGACAGGACTGTGTCATCCTATGCTCTCTCTTCCAGCTTTTATTATCACCTTGTGCCTCACTGCTTTCTCACAGGGCCGGTTGTCATTCCTGCCTCGCAGCTGAAACACGAGGAGAACTCTGCTGCTCCGGGGCTTGTCCTGCGGTTTCTCGCTATGTTTTGGGGAAATGCCTCTCTTGCAGAGTTTTCTTGTTCCCCCGTTGCCACACTCTTACTTCCTCATCCCTTTTGTCTTTTTTTTTTTGCTTTTTATTCCATTCTTTGCTTCGTTTCTTTGCCCTGACTGCTGCATCCTTTGGTTCATCTTCGCTAACTCATCGTTTCTTTGCTCTGGCTGCTGCGTTCTTTGGTTCGTCTTCGCTAACTCATCTGTGTGTTTCTTTCTCTCAACCACTGAATTTGTTTCCTGGATCCGAGTTGTTGGGTCTCACGAACCCGGTGTGCACACCCCAGGAGGGAGCAGCGGAGAGCAGTGGGCTGCTGCTCCGGCCGGGGAGCCGGCAGAGCTTGCATGTTGCAGGCGACGGCATGCAGCCGACGCTAGCCATAGCGTTTCCAGTCAGGATGTGTTTAAATTATGTGACTTTTGTTTTATGAATTGGGCAGCGTGCCCGTAGCTCTGCAGAGCCAGCCGTAGTGTGGCAGAAGATGTGTCTCCTCTTCGGATCCTTGTGCAGCAGTGGTGGAAGCCGTCCGGGGTCTTCTCCTCCAGCATACGAGAGAAATGAAGAGGGAGGAAGGCTGCGTCCCGAGCGCCAGTTCTCTGCTTGTTAATGCTCCAGAGCTCTTGTTTATTTATCAGTGTGGATGAACCGCTGTTGTGATGGCCTCTCCCTGCTCGTGTTGGAGCTGATGCTGTCTGCAGCTGGGCTCTTGCTCCCGGCAGGGGAGCCCCTGCTCAGGGCTTGGCAGAGAAGCTATGGTAGATATAATTTTGCTACTGTCATTAGAATTTTGTCCTCTCCTGCTTTTATCATTTTTGTGTGGAATTTTGATGAACCCAATAATCTTGTAAGGTGCAAAAAAAACCCCAACCCCCTAGCAGTTTGAAGTAATTTTTATATTTTTTTGTCTCCTTTATTTCTTAGGTGCCTTTGTTGTCTGCTGGACCCCTGGCCTGGTCGTCTTACTGCTCGATGGTCTGAACTGCACCTACTGTGGGATTCAAAATGTTAAAAGGTGGTTTCTTCTCCTGGCCCTGTTGAACTCTGTCATGAATCCAATAATTTATTCATACAAAGATGATGAGATGTGGGGTACCATGAAAAGGATGATTTGCTGCTCCTCTGAGGATAAGAGCCAGGACAGACGCTCATCACGGATCCCCTCGACAGTTCCCTGCAGGAGCACGGATACCTCAGGGCACTACATTGAAGATGGCATTATTCAAGGGACGATTTGTGGAAAAGGAGATCTTGGGGACAAAGGAAACTCCTGAGCTATTCAAGGGACTGACTTGGCTGGAAAAGGAGAGGGGGAAGGGAGAGGTTTTGTAAGAGAAGATTGACTGGCAAAGCTAGTAAACAATATATCTACTTTGTTCCAGAGCCTAAACTCCAGTGTTAACAAAAGTTCTTATAAATAATTGCCTGATGGAAAAACACTTTGTGATGAAGAAAACTTTCTGTGCTGCCGTCTTTCTCCTTTTTTTTTTTTTTTTTTCTTTTAAGTACATGAAATTGTTTATTCGTGTGAATGGAATAAATACATCTCAGAGACTTCTTGTGCATGGAAGCAAAATGTAAGCAAAGTAGTGAGACCCTCGTTAAGCTCCTACGGAGAGAATAAACCAGCCTTACTGTGCAGGCTTGGTATTCATTGGGTATTTATGCTTTGAACAGTTTCTGTGCATCCTGAGGAGGATCATAGGCTCGGTTGGACAGAATTGTGACCGGTTGTCTTGGTTTATGAAGTTTATGCAATAGTTCATACTTACCTTCTCTCTTCCTCCTCCTCACCTTGCTTTCAAATTAGGTAGTTTGATGGTTTATTAAAGCTATGCCAGAAACCTGGCCGCGATGGGAAGCCCGGACCAGGCACCAGCACGCGTGAGTACGTCAGGCCGTGGGTTGTCAGGGTCTGGGAGCACAAAAAGCCCAAAAGCCGTTATTACTTCCATGGTGGGGTGGATGCTGCAAGGAGATACGTTGTGCTCTCTGCTGCTGTTGTGTGGGCAGACGTTGCGGGTGGCTTAGCAGGGGAGCGGCGTGGCCGTGCTGGCTATGCTCATTTCTTGCTTCCCCAGATAACATCAAACGGGTGTGCTCACCCCTCTTTAACTGCTGTGTCACTGAGAGAAACTAAATCCAAACCTCTGCTTTAGGAGGGTGAACTTCTAAGGGAAGTTTAAATATACATGTATACGGGTTTGAGCAAGCTATTTAAAATAGAAATTAATTTACAGGAAAAAAAGCCTGAAACTAACCTAAACCCCTACAAGAGGACAGCATGCATTGACTGTCTGACCTTGGCTGGACCACGCTTAACCTCTGACTGGCAAGCAGATCTTACTGGAAGTTACTTGAGGAAGAGGCCATGAAACAGCAAACAGTGGAGGGCTTTCAGCATAGTGCCTCATCAAGTCTAGTGCCAATGCAGCCGCAGCCCCAAAAGCTGAAGTTTTGACTTACGGAGTATGCCCTGATGGAGGATCCAGCAATTTAAAGCTCTAGAGTAAAGTGTTTCAATTTGAACTTCTAAATTAAAAATGGGAATGTAGATTTCTCAGTACTCTCAAAACCTGGCTCCTGCTGTCTGGTTTTTAACAGCAGCGAGCTCCCTGCTACCCGCCTTAATTTCAAGAGGAGTCACCCATGTTGGGTCCTAGAGAAAGCGATCCCCGGTGTTTAAAGCGGGTGACCACAACCAGAGACCAGTTTGGAAAGTCTGGGAAGTTTTGACCACTTGGAATTGTCAGAGACCACCACCAAGAGCATATTGTATGAGGCTTGAAAGATAAAGATCAGCTGTGATTTGGGCAAATTCTTCCTTTGGTGCAACTTGTGTGTGGAAATCTGGGCTGTGTTGGTCAAGGAGAACCAGCGCTTGGCTCGAAGGCCAAGCTGCAGTTTTGTAGAGGGCAGTGGGGGATTTCATAGCAGGCCTTGGCTCATGAACACAGCAAGCCCCTGATCGGAGACCTCTCCCATAACACAAGTTACCTTGCAGGGATATGGCCTAATGTTTCAAGGTAGAGGCTGTATTGGAGTAACGCTAAAAAAAGGTTTACACATGGTTTTTTGCCATTATAATGCAATGTTCTTGTGCAAATACTACTTCGTTAGTTTGGTGTTTTGAAAAAGTACGGAAAGTGGTGCTTTCTAGAGGCGGCGGCATTGCGAAGGCATAGCATGCAAACGTTCCCGTCCCTACCGCTACCTGCAGCGCACGGATTGTGTTAACCAGGCTGAAGCTCCATATGCAAAGCTAACGGAAAATAAAATGCTACTGCAAAATAAAATACTTGGTTTGTTTCCTGTTTGCACGGTGACTGAATATTACCTGGCACTACAGTCAGCAGTAAATGGCTGCTGTTACTCTTACTTGTTTCCACAGATCCATTCAAGCTAAAGCTGATCGAACTGCAGATAAAAATGAAGATGGGGAAATGTTTCATGTTACCATGGGGCAGTGTGGGGAGGAAGATGTATTAATAAAATCTTCATGTTTACTAACAATACTACGCATTGTAATACTTGGTTGAATCAGGTCCCTGGAGGGAGCTTGGATGAAGATCTGGAACATCTGCAGCAGTGGAGAAAACACCAGGTCCCTCCTGCAGAAGCTTGGGATTCAGGCTGCAAAAGGAGCATGTGCGGATGATTTTTCCAGGTAAGCAGGGAAAGGTGACTCCTGTAAAGGTGAAGGACTGCGTTATTTGCAGAGCACCTTGTACAGTGAGCCCCTGGTCTGGATTAAGATCTGAGAGGCGAGATCAATCGTTCCTCTACAAGTAAGCGGGAGGATTGGAGGGTCTGCGCTCTTATTCTTTCTGATGTCTCATTTAGACCAAAAAAACCCCCAAAAGCCGACAAAACAAACCCCAAATCCAACTGCCAAAGCTTGCAAACTGGTGCTCTGTGGATGGTGTTATTTGCAGCAACATGCCCTCTGTTTCAGCATGATGCATCCCGCAGAGCTGCTACCTCGTTTTCTATGACTGTAAATTACAGCGTGGCATGGCTGGAAAGGGACGCTGATCCTGCATCAAACTTTCCTACAAACTGCTACAGCAGAGGCTGCATAACGTTTCCTACAGCAAACTGTCTAAACATCCCGCTGCTTGTGTAGTGGGGAATTTCTTTTCAACTCCGTAAACATTTATCAGAACAGTTCATCTCAAGGAAAACATTAAAGCACTATTTGTACTTGAGTAAAAAAAAAAAAAAAGAAAAAAAAAGGATAAAAGCAAAGGGCAGTTGTTGAAGGCAACTCCTGTGGGATTTCCCCGTTGCCTTTTTCTCTGATATCCCAGAATAACAGATACCAGTATCTCTTGACTTTGCATGTGCCTGCTCCTATTTACGTACACCAGCGTACTGACGTGTGAGATGAAATTCATTCTTTTGGGGGAGGGCTTTAGGGTGAATGCCCACAGAAACCTGGGGACATTGGTTCTTAGGAGGCAGAGGAAGGCAAGGGTAGAGTTGCCATCAGGTTGGATCGTTACAAGGCTTTGCATGTTCGTGGTGATGCTGGAGGCCTTTCTGTGTCCGAGAGAGCCTTGAGAGCTGCTGTACCATAGCAAGCAGGTACTTCTAATACAACATCTTCACAGCAATTATGGTTTGAAAACCTTTGTGATATTCTCCTCCTTTTCCCCCCTCCAGCTCCTTCTCTCCCAAACCAAAGTTGCTGTTCCATTCGGTCAGTGGGTCCAGGAAGAAACACTCCACAGCTTTTCCCAGGGCAAAGACGTATGGTCTGTCCTCCGTGGTTAGCTCTCCCATCAAGCCTGCATGGTCATGATCATTAGAGAGGCTTTTCAGAGAATTATTATTAAAAGCTGGGAACAATGAGGGTTTATTTTACAGAATGGATCTTTCGAATCTTTCTGGATAAGCAGAACATTGTTTAATAACTGCGTGTGTGGGAGAGAAGTTTCTCCGATACCTGTGCTGTCAGTGGGACCTAGGGGGGTGTGGGTGATGAGTCCCTCTGAGAGAGCAGCCAAATGGCTACAGCTTGACCAGCTCTGGGGCATGGCTTCCCCACTGCTTTGGGGCTGCTTTACCATGACTACTCTTCCCTCAGTGTAGGTTTTGGGGTTTTGAGGTTGGTTTTTTTTTAGTAATTACTGCAGTCTGGTGAAATACATCTATATTTGTGCACTGCAATAATTACCGCAGCTACGTGACATGATGGTGTCTTTCTCTGATCAGATCTGTATTTTATATATATTTATACAGGTTTTTTGCTTTTTATTGTTGTTGTTTTTTAATTTAACACTCTCTTCCAAGTAGCAGTTAACTATAGGAGCAACACTTCCACTACAATCCTTTCATGGTTTTAGTGAACTCTGCATGAAGATTTCTAGACTACTGGTTGTTGGAAGCTGATGGAGGAAGGGTCACCTTAAACTTGTCATACGTCTTACGCTCTTTCCCCACTGTTCTGGCTATTGGCCGCCGTCCTAGCAGATGCAGTGCAGGGTCAGCCTTTGGCCTGGCCCACAGCTTGCAAGATTAGAGCCAAGAAGTGAAAATATATAGAAATGTTGAAAAGAAGGTGGCAGGGGAATTTTGTGATTTATCCTAGCCTATAATTCTAATGAACATTTTAAATCACTGGGAAGCAGGGATCCCACTTTCCCCCTTGCACGCACTCCCTCCTTACGCTGCTGCAGCCATGTGTGAGACTGCAGGGTGAACTGTAGCGGGTCTGAAAAATAACCTGGGGTGATAGACGTTGCTTGTAACTGGAGAAGATTTTCCACTTGTCATGAGTGAGCAGCTGTATCATTTCCTCGGTTTGCTGTGCAAAGTCACATGGATGATTTGTTCTCTAGAAACCTTTGTAAAATACAACCCTCCCCGAATGCTATGCTTTGCAGTCCCTGGGCACGCTTCTATCAGGGGGAAAAAAAAAAAAAGATCCATCTGAAAACAAGGAATTAGGTCATGATAGTCTCCCCCTGCCCCCCCCGCAAGGTCTTTTGGAAGATAAGGAATTTAGACAGTGCTATGCTTTGAGCCATTCTTCAAAAACATCCTGCTTATCTTTCAAGTAGTAATTGGTCCCTGGGCTTCCCTTATATATCTTTTTATAATATCGAGGGTGTTTTTTCCCTGCAGCAGGCAGAAGCATCTCTTTTCATCCAACCTAGTTAGCAGTGCTATTTTGCAGCCCATAGCTATGCTATTCTGAATTGTCTTGTAGATGCATCTATGTGTCTTCTCCGGTGTGTGTTGGAATAAATTAATTTTCAAAGTAACCTCTGCTATGTTTACCACAGGCAACTGTGCTAGGAACAGATCTTTTTTTTTCTGAACTGCCTTTACTAGTATCCTAGTCATGCACTTGGAAGTCTGATGTACAGCCCTATAAGAAAATCAACAGGCAGAATAAGGAAAGCACAAATCACTTCTTAATCTGTTCTCACCGATAGCTGTATTTGAACTTAAATGTTAACTTCATTGAAAGAATAGATATGGTCTAATTTCTCTGAAACCCCCCAAACAAATGAACAAGAATTCTCATT